TGAGCCACTGCATCTGGTAGCTGATATTATTATCCCCTTGGGACAGATAAGAAAAGTGAGGCACAGAGGTTAAGTAATTTGCCCCTAGTTGCATGGCTGGCCAATGATAGAGCCAACATTAATGCTTGGAAAATGAAAAAGAACAAGCTCTGTGCTTTAAAGATGGAAATACATCCCCAAGCATTGCTAATTACGATGTAATGCAAGGATGCTTTGAGTTAGTGTGCATTACCGTGGACTAGCATGTGCCACATAAACAGACAAATGAGACGAGGTCCTCACCTTCAGTTAGCTGTAGTTTAGTGGGTGCGGTGATGGGGAGAGAGCTGGTATAACATGAGTGAACTGGAGAAAAAGACTTCGGACTTATTGCACCTAGACTTATTGCAGAGCTGTGAGAGTTTCTGTAAATATAATGACCTCATTTCTCCCCAGGAAGGACTGCGACGTGATTATCAACTTTCAGGTTCCCTCCTGGATAGTTATTCTTGAAAATGCTCCTTTTCCTGTAGATTTTAGACTTCTACCTCTCCCTAGGAATGGGAGCATCATTTAGTCTTCAATTTTTTCTTCTTCCTTGGAGAGTTTGATTCCCTAGAAGCATGGCTACATCCATGAATTGATAGACTTGGGTCATGTTTGAAATTTTTGATGGACTAGGAATCTAAATCAAAGAAGAAATGGACCTCGTCATTTAAAACAAACTTCTAATTACCTAGGCTGAAAGAGCTGGTGCACAACAAACTTCTATGACATTTTTTGGGGAAGAGAATGTAATATTCCCTCTTTTTTTTTTCATTTTTTTGTTAATGAGCATATCCTTGTAATTTTAGAGAATGCAAAAGAACATGCTCTGTGCTTTAAAGATGGAGTACATTCCCCAGCATTGCTAATTACAATGTAATCCTATCAGTAGTGCAAACCCTCAGATCTGCAGGTGTCTCTGGGTCCAGGAACCTGTTTCCTGCAATGGAATCCTGCCCTGAGCCTGCCCTGAGCCCAGGAGTGGGCAGGGGACATTCTGATGGGTCTGGGGAGGGTCAGGAGCCCAGAGACCATTGCGGGAGTCTGGAAGGGAAGGGGTCCCTGTAGGAAGAGTGGTGCCTAGCCCCTGTCGCCTCCACTTGGGCAGAGGCAGGGACAGAGGCAACGGACTCAGATTGTACCAGAAAACACAGGTCGGGCAGCACAGAGGCTCCTCCATTTGGGAAAAGGGTGAGAGTGAATCGGGCCCCACTGTGGGAGCTTGAGGGCATGCTGCTCCAGTTGCTTCAGGGAATACATATTCTGGAGGGTGGACGTGTGGGCAGAAATGCAGCCTACAGAAGTCTTTTGCAGCAGGGGCATCCAGAGTGCCCTTTGATCACAGGCCTCACACGTGGTGGAAGGAGGGGTGTAGGTAGAGCAGGAGATCATGGTGGTGGGACCTCAGCGTCCAGCTAGTGATGGAGGTGTTATGGGGCGTGGATAAGACCCCTCCTTGGACCAGGAGTCTGGAGTGAGATGTGCAGAAATCAGGACAGGGCTGGTGAGACTGGATTCTTCCTCCCCCAGGCCTCAGGGTAGAGGGGTTTCTGCAGCCCAGGCCTCCTGACCCCGCCCGCTCCTCCCTCAGGTGGACTCGCTGCAGGCTCTGCTGCACAGCCCTTCTGTGCTGGTGTGTGCCGGGCATGAGGCCTTCAGACCCCCAGCCATGGAAAATGCCAGGAGAAGTGAAGCTGAAACTTTATCTGGGCTGACTTCAAGAAACAAAAACAGTGAGTTGGTTTTTGGGTTTCCCCCATGTGATTTGCACTGGATGGTGGTTCAGTAGGGTTGAGTGGATACCCTTCCAGGTAATCCAGGAAACTTCCCTTTGGCCCCAAATCTCGGGTATCCCAGTAATTTTGGGATGTCTCTTGCCTCTTCCTCCTTCTCAGTACTGTCAATCTGACTTGGGTTGAACATTTGACCAAGATAGGAGAGGACAGTGTTTGGTATATAAAAGGAACAGAGGTTGGGCACGGTGGCTCATGTCTGTAATTCCAGCAGTTTGGGGGGCCAAAGCGAGAGGATTACTTGAGTTCAGGAGTTGGACACCAGCCTGGGCAACATAATGAGACACTGTCTCTAAAAAAAAATACAAAAAAATAAGCCAGGCATAATGGCACATGCCTATAGCTCCAGCTACTTGGGAGGCTGAGGTGGGAGGATCACTCGAGCCCAGGAGGTTGAGGCTGCAATGAGCTGTGATCACACCACTTCACTGCAGCCTGGGTGACACAGCAAGATCATGTCTCAAAATAAATAAATACATGGAACAGGGTTAAGTTATCTTGAACTTGAAGTTTCTAGAATCTAAAATAAATTTTATTAAGAACCACAGGTGCAGAGGCTCACACCTATATTCCCAGCAATTTGAGAGGCCAGGACAGGAGGATCACTTGAGCCCAGGAGTTCAAGACAAGCCTAGACAACAGAGCAAGACCCTGCCTCTACCACAAACATACATAAGTAAATGAACAAATTACCCAGGCATGGTGGCACATGCCTGTGGTCCCAGCTACTCAGGAGGCTGAGGTGGCAGGATGATTTGAGCCCAGGAGTTTGGGACTTCAGTGAGTCACAATCGTGCCACTGCTCTCCAGCTTGGGCAACAGAGACCCTGTCTCAAAAAAGAAACAACTGCAGTGGCCATGACATCATGGCAGCAATGGGCCCTGTGTGTGGCGCTGCATCCTTTCAGGGTCACGATGATCTCAGACAACAGTGGTGGCCGGCACGGAGGTCAAAAGGACTAAAACTAACCATGACCACGGATCATCCATCCATCCATCCATCCAACCAACCATATATCCAGCCAAAGAGCCACAGTCTGGACTATGTTATTTTCTAAAACCACACACTTATTTTTAAAAGCACAATTAACAAATGCAGTCTGACAATGGAAAAATTTGGTGAGTAAAAAAAGTACTATCCTTTGTGAAAAGCTCAGAAACACCAACAAGGACAGGCTCGGTGATCACTGTAGGCCAGGCACTGGAGGCACAAGGACAGTTTACTCTGGGCCCCTCCCTGGAGGAGTCCCCAGTCGCATTTGGTCCCTGTGGAGGGGCAGGACTGGGTAAAGTCATCTGCTGCCCAGATGTGCACCTGGGGTCTGTTCTTTTGCTGGTCATCAGCTCAGCCTCTGTCTGCTAGCCCTGCCCTCTTGCCACATGTTGGCTCAGGAGATGGAATTTGAAAGCACTTAGGGGCTTCATTCATTCATTCTTTCTTTTTTTTCCTTTTTCTTTCTTCTTTTTTTTTTTTTTTTTTCTGAGACGGAGTCTTGCTCTGTCACCCAGGCTGGAGTGCAGTGATGTGAACTAGGTTCACTGCAACCTCCCACTTTGGGGTTCAAGTGATTTTCATGCCTCAGCCTCCCAAGTAGCTGGGATTACAGTCACCCACCACCACGCCCAGCTAATTTTTTGTGTTTTTAGTAGAGACAGGGTTTCCCCACATTGCCTAGGCTGGTCTTGAACTCCTGACCTCAGGTGATCCGCCTGCCTTGGCCTCCCAAAGTGCTGGAATTACAGGCGTGAGCCACCGCGCCTGACTCATTTTTTTCTTAGAGCCACTCCTTTGCATCCCCAGCGGCCCTTTCTTCTTCTCTTTTTCATGGCTGGGGTGCAGGCTTGACTAGCAGGACCTGATATCTCAAGCCCAGGTCCTTCCCTGAAGTCATTTATCAACCCAGGAGCTTGACGAGGGTGAAAAATCACCACCAATAATCACAGAGCATATAACAGTTTACAATCAGGGTCATATGCAGCAGTTTATTGATTTCACCTGCTGTGCTGGGTGTGGGTACGAGGAGGGCCAAGAGCAAGCTCTCGGCACTGCCACTCTGCCTGCCAAGTCTGCCATCTCTTGAGAGCCTACTGTGTGCTAGCAACTATAGAGTAAGTTTTATATGCATAGCCATGCATCAATACGAACTCAACCAATCAATATTATTATGCTTATTTTATGGTTCAGAAAACAGGCTCTGCCAAAAACTATGCAGCTAGTAAGTGGCAGAGTTGAGATTGAATTCAGACTCAAGTTCTCCTTGCTAGACGATGCCAGTTCACAGACTGGTAGCTCTGCGGACTGTCATTCTAGAATAGCTCTGCCCTTATCATGCTTTTTTTTCCTTTTCTTTTTTTAATGGTCTTGCTCTGTCATCCAGGCTGAAGTGCAGTGACACAGAGCTCACTGCAGCCTCGAACTCTGGGACTCAGGGGATTCTCCTGCCTCAGCCTTCCGAGTAGCCAGGAAGCTGGGACTGTAAGGCCATACTACTGTGCTCAGCTAATTATTTTTTAATTATTATTTTTTTTTTTTGTAGAGATGGTGTCTCACTAAGTTGCCCAGGCTGGTCTTGAAACCCCGAGCTCAAGCAGTCCTCCCGCCTCGGCCTCCCAAAGTGCTTGGATTACAGGCCTGAGCCACCGCACCCAGTTGTTACCGTGCATTTTGGAGGCAGTGGTGTTCAGGTCGTGGGAGGCTCATGACTATTTTATTCCTTTACCCTGATGCTGTCCCCATGGCTCACAATCTTTTCCTCTTTTCTTTTCCTCTTCACTGCGTGCCAGGGAGCTGGGGGCCAAAGACTAAGCCGAGTGTGATCCATTCGCGGTCCCGGCCAGGCAGCAGGCCGCAGCTGCCAGAGAGGCCTGTTCCTAGCAACCCCCCGGTGGGCCCTGCTCCTGACAGGCACCCTCAGGACACGCCAGCGCAGCCGGGCCCGCTGGTGGCCGGCGATGACATGAAGAAGAAGGTCCGCATGAATGAGGACGGCAGCCTGTCCGTGGAGATGAAAGTCCGCTTCCATCTGGTCGGCGAGGACACACTCCTGTGGTCCCGGAGGATGGGCAGGGCCAGCGCCCTCACGGCAGCCAGCGGGGAAGACCCCATTCTGGGGGAGGTGGATCCCCTCTGCTGTGTGTGGGAGGGCTACCCTTGGGGCTTCTCGGACCCTGGGGTGTGGGGACCCCGGCCCTGTAGGGTGGGATGTGGGGAAGCCTTTGGCCGAGGCGGGCAGCCAGGGCCCAAGTATGAAATCTGGACGAATCCCCTGCATGCCTCCCAGGGAGAGAGAGTGGCGACTCGGAAGAGGTGGGGGCTGGCCCAGCACGTCCGCTGCAGTGGCCTGTGGGGCCACGGGGCTGCCGGGAGGCAGAGATGCAGCCTGGACAGTGCCAGCCCAGCCTCCAGCACCGGCCACCCCGAGGGCTCAGAGCCAGACTCCTCCTGCTGCCCCAGGACCCCGGAAGACAGGGTGGACAGCGGCAGCCCCTCTGCCCAGAGAGGGGCTGAGCAGGAAGCTGGAGGGAGCCTGGGTGAGGACCCCAGCCTATGCACAGATGGAGCCGGGCTGGGCAGCCCAGAGCAAGGCGGCCACCTGACACCCAGGGCCCAGAGTGAGGAGGGGGCTTCTTCCGACTCGTTGGCCAGCACCGGGTCTCACGAGGGATCCAGCGAATGGGGCGGGCAGCCCCGGGGCTGCCCAGGCAAGGCAAGGGCTGAGACCTCTCAGCAGGAGGCCACCAAGGGAGGCAACCCTGGTTCTCCAGCTCCAAGTCTTTCATCTTTAAGGAGTGAGGACCTGCAGGCAGAGATGCAAGGACGGGGCACCAAGCAGGCCAGGGGGGCGTCTGTGAAGAGGGAGCCTCTGGTTCCTGGCCTTTCTGGCTCCTGGGACTCGGAAGGAGCCTCTTCTACCCCTTCCACCTCCGCTTCATCCCAGGAGGAGCGGAGAAGGCACAGAAGCCGGGCCAGTGCAACGTCCTCACCCAGCAGCCCTGGCCTTGGCCGAGTGGCCCCGAGAGGCCATCCCAGGCAGTGTCACTACTGCAAGGACACCCACAGCCCGCTGGACTCCTCTGTAACCAAGCAAGTGCCGAGGCCTCCTGAGCGGCGAAGGGCCTGCCGGGATGGCTCAGTGCCACGATCTTCTGGAAGCTCATTGAGCACCAGGACACAGGACTCCGGGAACCTGAGACCTCCCTCCTTGGGATCTCTTCCTTCCCAGGACCTTCTGGGAATCAGCAGTGCCACTGTCACTCCTGCAGGACGCTCAGATTGTGCTTCTGGGGTCTCCCCCTGCAATGCTCCCTCTGTCGGGTGGGCAGGGGACACGGGGTCCAGGACATGCTCGCCGGACCCCACACCACCCCACACATCTGACTCCTGCTCAAAATCTGGGGCTGCCAGCCTGGAGGAACAGGCCAGGGACACCCCCCAACCCTCCTCGCCCTTGATTCTGCAGGTTGGACGGCCTGAGCAAGGGGCGGCGGGCCCCCACCAAAGCTGCTGCCACTCACAGGCTGGGACGCAGCCGGCCGAAGAGGCCCAGCGGGGACCCTCCCCTGAGGCCCACTGGCTGTGTGGCAGGTACTGTCCCACCCCGCCCAGGGGGCGGCCCTGCCCCCAGAGGCGCTCTTCCAGCTGTGGGAGCACCGGTAGCAGCCACCGAAGTGCTGCCCGGAGGCCAGGTGGGAGCCAGCAGAAGGAGGGGACACACCAGGCAGGCCCCACACCATCCCTGGGGCCCGGTTCAGGGGCATCGAGGAGAAGCAGTGCCAGCCAGGATGTGGGATCTGGGGGGCTGTCCCAGGAGGAGACCTCGAGGAGTTGGGGAGGCCCGCAGGGGCAGGAGGAGGCCAGCGGTGTGTCACCCAGCTCTCTGCCCCGCTCGTCTCCAGAGGCTGTGGTCCGCGAATGGCTGGACCACATTCCAGAAGAGCCCGTACTCATGACATATGAGATGGCGGACGACACCACAGGTGCAGCAGGGGGTGGCCTGAGAGGCCCCGAGGTGGACCCTGGGGATGACCATTCTCTGGAAGGCCTGGGGGAGCCAGCTCTGGCCAGACAACAGCCCCTGGAAGGGGACCCCGGCCAGGACCTGGAGCCAGAGGGAGCCCTCCCGGGGAGTAGTGATGCTGGTCCCCAATCAGGAGAGGGTGTTCCCCAAGGGGCAGCTCCAGAGGGAGTTTCCGAGGCCCCCGCAGAGGCCGGAGCGGACAGAGAGGACCCAGCCAGCTGCGGGGTGAGCCTGCGGGCACTTCCTGGTCGGGTGTCTGCCTCCACGCAGATCATGAGGGCGCTGATGGGCTCCAAGCAGGGCCGGCCCAGCAGCATGCCCGAAGTGTCTAGGCCCATGGCCAGGAGACTCAGCCGCTCAGCCGGGGCCCTCATTACTTGTCTGGCCAGTCTTCAGTTCTTTGATGAAGACCTTGGGTCTCCTGCCAGCAAAGTGAGGTTCAAAGACTCCCCTCGGTACCAGGAGCTGCTCAACATCTCAAAGGACCTGTGGCCAGGATGCGACCTTGGGGAAGACCAGTTAGACTCAGGCCTTTGGGAGCTCACATGGAGCCAGGCTCTGCCGGACCTTGGGTCCCAAGCCGTGACAGAGAACTTCACACCCACGTCCTCCTCTGGTGTGGATATCAGCAGTGGCTCCGGAGGCTCAGGGGAGAGCAGCGTACCCTGTGCCATGGACAGCACCCTGGTCCCTGGGGGGACAGAGCTGTCCCTGAAAACCTCCAACCAGAGGCCTGATTCCAGAACTTCTGAGAACCCAGGGGATCTGGAAAACCAACAGCAGTGTTGTTCCCCAGCCTTCTTGAACTCCCGAGCCTGTGCTTGTGCCACCAATGAGGATGAAGCAGAAAGAGACGGTGAAGAGCAGAGGGCGAGCTTGAACCTGGAGCAGTTAGCTCAAAACACAATGCAAGAAGAGGTGCAATTAGAGGAAAGTAAAGAAGAAACAGAGGGAGGAGGGCTGCAAGAAGAGGGGCTGCAGTTAGAGGGAACTAAAGAAACAGAAGGGCTGCAAGAAGAGGGGGTGCAGTTAGAGGAAACTGAAACAGAAGAAGGGCTGCAAGAAGAAGGGGTGCAGCTAGAGGAAACTAAAACAGAAGGAAGGCTGCAAGAAGAGGGGGTGCAGCTAGAGGAAACTAACGGAACAGAAGGAGAAGGACAGCAAGAAGAGGCTCAGTTAGAGGAAATTAAAGAAGAAACAGGAGGAGAAGGACCACAAGAAGAGGGGTTGCAGTTAGAGGGGACTAAAGGAACAGAAGGAGAAGGGCATCAAGAAGAGGGGGCGCAGTTAGAGGAAACTAAAGGAACAGAAGAACGACAGCAAGAAGAAGAGGCGCAGTTAGAGGAAATTAAAGAAGAAACAGAAGGAGAAGGACCACAAGAAGAGGGGTTGCAGTTAGAAGGGACTAAAGGAACAGAAGGAGAAGGGCATCAAGAAGAGGGGGCGCAGTTAGAGGAAACTAAAGGAACAGAAGGAGAAGGACAGCAAGAAGAAGAGGCGCAGTTAGAGGAAACAGAAGGAGAAGGGCATCAAGAAGAGGGGGCGCAGTTAGAGGAAACTAAAGGAACAGAAGGAGAAGGACAGCAAGAAGAAGAGGCGCAGTTAGAGGAAATTAAAGAAGAAACAGAAGGAGAAGGACCACAAGAAGAGGGGTTGCAGTTAGAGGGGACTAAAGGAACAGAAGAGGAATGGCATCAAGAAGAGGGGGCGCAGTTAGAGGAAACTAAAGGAACAGAAGGAGGACAGCAAGAAGAAGAGGCGCAGTTAGAGGAAATTAAAGAAGAAACAGGAGGAGAAGGGCTGCAAGAAGAGGGGGTGCAGCTAGAGGAAGTTAAAGAAGGACCAGAAGGAGGACTGCAAGAAGAGGCTCTTGAAGAGGGTCTCAAAGAGGAAGGGCTTCCAGAAGAAGGAAGCGTCGGCCGGCAGGAATTGTCAGACGCCGGCTCTCCGGATGGAGAAGGCTCCTGGGAAGATGACCCAATCCAGGAGGAGGAAGCGGGAAGAGCCTCTGCAGAGCCGTGCCCCCCAGAGGGCACAGAGGAACCCACAGAACCCGCTAGTCATCTCAGCGAGACGGACCCAAGTGCCAGCGACAGTCAAAGTGGCTCCCAGCTTGAGCCTGGCTTGGAAAAGCCGCCCGGAGCCGCCATGATGGGCCAGGAGCACACGCAGGCCCAACCCCCGCTGGGGGCTGCAGAGAGGAGCTCTTCGGTGGCCTGCAGAGCGGCTCTGGACTGCGACCCCATCTGGGTGTCCGTGTTGCTGAAGAAGATGGAGAAGGCCTTCCTGGCCCACCTTTCCGGCGCAGTGGCTGAGCTCCGAGCGCGCTGGGGCCTCCAGGACAGTGACCTGCTGGACCAGATGGCGGCCGAGCTGCAGCAGGATGTGGCCCGGCGCCTCCAGGACAGCACCGAGAGAGAGCTCCAGAAGCTCCAGGGCCGGGCGGGGCGGATGGTGCTGGGGCCTCCCAGGGAGGCCCTCACTGGGGAGCTGCTCCTGCAGACCCAGCAGCGCAGACACCGTCTCCGGGGCCTGCGCAACCTCTCGGCCTTCTCTGAGCGGACCCTGGGCCTGGGGCCCTTCTCCTTCACCCTGGAGGACGAGCCAGCCCTCAGCACAGCCCTGGGGAGCCAGCTGGGCGAGGAGGGGGAGGGCGAGGAGTTCTGTCCCTGCGAGGCCTGCGTGAGGAAGAAAGTGAGCCCTGCGTCCCCCAAGGCCACAATGGGGGCAACCAGAGGTCCCATCAAAGAGGCCTTTGACCTGCAGCAGATTCTGCAGAGGAAGAGGGAAGAACACACCGGTGGGGAGGCAGCAGAGGTGGCCCCTGGCGAGACCTGCACAGACCCCACGAGCACCAGGACTGTCCAGGGAGCGGAGGGAGGGCCAGGGCTGGGGCTGGGCCACGGGCCTGGAGTGGACCAGGGTGAGGATGGTGAGGGAAGCCAGAGACTCGACAGAGACAAAGATCCCAAACTCGGGGAGGCAGAGGGAGATACAATGGCTCAGGAGAGAGAAGGGAAAATCCACAACAGCGAAACCAGTGTAGGCAGCGAGCTGGGGGAAGCTGAGCAGGAGGGAGAGGGCATAAATGAAAGGGGAGAAACTGGGGGCCAGGGCTCTGGGCATGAGGACAACTTGCAGGGTGAAGCTGTGGCAGGAGGTGACCAAGATCCAGGACAGAGTGATGGGGCGGAAGGCATAGAGGCCCTGGAGGCTGAAGGGGAGGCCCAGCCAGAGTCCAGAGGTATAGAGGCCCAGGAGGCAGAAGAGGAGGCCCCGGAGGCTGAAGGGGAGGCCCAGCCAGAGTCAGAAGGTGTAGAGGCCCCGGAGGTTGAAGGGGAGATGCAGGAAGCAGAAGGGGAGGCCCAGCCAGAGTCAGAAGGTATAGAGGCCCCAGAGGCAGAAGGGGAGGCCCAGGAGGCAGAAGGGGAGGCCCAGCCAGAGTCAGAAGGTGTAGAG